ACATCCTGATAAGCTCATTATAAACTGAAAACAGAATATGTACAGTTTAACCACATAGCACAGCACAGAGTACTGGTTTACCCTTATGACCACATGGCTAACTGGGAACTGCTACCGCCTAGTACCATAAGATTATCATACTATGTATCAACAGCCCAGGAAAAGATCAAAATTCAAAATTATGGTTTCTACTGAATGCATATCACTTTCTCGAACCATTATAAAGTCAAAAAAATCCTAAGCTGAGCCTATAAGTTGGGGACTTCTGTCTGTATATATTATTAGAACATAAGCTATAATTAAAGATACGTATTGTAAATCTAGGCCACTATTAAAAAAAATTTTTTTAAAGATATAAATAGCCAGGTGTGGTGGTATGCACAGATAGTACCAGTCACTCAAGAAGCTGGGGCAGGAAAATGGGAGTTTAAGATCCACCTAAGCAATATAACAAGATCCTATCTCAAAAAAAAAAAAAAAAAAAAAGAAAAGGTTTTAAATAGCAAATAATGGAGACAAACTGGACAAAATGGCTCATCAAAAACACTCAATCCAAAATAAAAAAGGATTAAAAGAAACAAGGAATAAGAGAAACAAATAGGAAACATCTGGCAAGATGATGTATTTTAAAATAATTACATTAAATGTCAACACCCTTTGGATACAAATTAAAAGACAGATTGTCAGATAACCTAAGACTCAATTATAGGCTGTTTATAAAAAATATCCTTTTTAAATTAAAGAATTTAAGTAGGCTAAAAGGAAATTAGCAAAAATATATAAATCTTGCAACTATTAATCTAAAGAAACCTAAAAGAGCTATATCAAACAAATAACTAAATTAAGTGGAATAGATATTAGTATCATAAAAATGACTCTAGAACAAGAAATACTGTAAGGTACAAAGAAGGACAGTACATATCAATAAAGGGATCAATTTTTCAAGAATAAAGAATAATCCTAATGTGTATGCATCTAACACAAGATTTTCAAAATGCATGAAACAAATTGATAGAAATGACAGGATAAAAAGAAGGCACACACTAATACTCCCAGCAATGAAGAGCAGGAGAAAGAAAATCAATAAAAATATACAAGACCTACACAGCACTATCAACCAACTTGACCAACTTAACATTTATAATATATTCTACCTAACAATAGCAGAATACACATTTCCTTTCAAATTGCACACAGAATATTCACCAAGAAATCACATTCTACACTATAATGAAAACCTTAACAAACTTAAAAGAAATGAAATTATAAAAACTTTATTTCCAGAACATAACAAAACTAAATTAGAAATCAATAACAGAACTATAAGTGGGAAATTCTTAAATATTTTCAAATTAAATACATTTAAAACTAATCCATGAATCAAAGAAGAAATTACAAGGCAAATCAGAAAATATTTTAATTGAATAAAGATAAAAGTACCATATATCAAGATTACCTACAAGTAGTTATTAGAGAGACAGTTACAATATTAAATGCCTATATTAGAAAAGAAAGTCTTAAATTAATCCACATTAATATACTACAAAACATAGTGCAAGTTAAACCCAAAGCAGGTAGAAGGAAAGAAAGAATGAAACAAACCAAGAAGAAACTGAGAACAAGAAAACTACAGAGAAAAATTAATGAAACTAGAAACTGGGTTTTTGGAGCTAGACTGACAAAATTTACAAACATGAAGAAAGAAAGAAGGGACATCACCACAGATGACAGACACATTAAAAGGAATGCCAAGAACAACTATATGCCTATAAATCTGACAACTTCCCTGAAAGGCAAAAGTCAAAGCTCACCCAAGAAGAAGTGATGACCTGAATAATCCTAAATCTATTAAAGAAATTAACATTTAAGTTTAAAATCTTCCAACAAAGAAACCTCCAGGGCCAGATAGTTATATAGGTAAATTCTATCTAACATTTAAGAAAAAAATAATACTAAATCTGAATTCTTCCCAAATACAGAAGCAACACTTCCCAATTTCATTCAAGAAGGCAATATTAATCTGGACAAATGCATTATAACAGAATTAGAAACCAAGATCTCTCATACCTAGGACATAAAAGTCCTTAACAATAGGAAATCAAATCTAAGAATAGAAAATAGGATAATACATCATGATTAAATGGGATTTATCCTAGGAAACCAAAGCTGATTCAGCATTTGAAAATCAACTAATTAACTTTTTACTTCAACAGACTAAATTTTTTTAAAAATCTCAATAAATGAAGAAAAAGCCTTCATTAAAATATACCACCCATTCTTGACATTAAAAAACAAAGCAAAACTCTCAGCAAATCAGGAACAGAAGGAAATATCCTCAGCCTTATAAAGGGCATCTACCAAAACCTAACTTTGCACTTACATGGTGAAAGACTGGATATTTTCCCCTCTAAGATCACTAAAAGAAGGATTTCCACTCTCATGAATCTATTTAACCCAAGTAACAGTACAATAATGAAAAATAAAGATGAAATAATAAAAGGAATACAGATTGGAAAGGATGAAATAAATCTATTTCTATTCACAGAAAACAGAACTGTCCAAGTAAAAAATCACAGAGAATCTATTCTAGTCATATCACAAATTCAATAACTAACTGGGCACTGTGGCACCTGCCTATAATCTCAGTGGCTCAAGAGGCTGAGGCTGAAGAATTGCAAGTTCAAAGCCTCAGCAACTTAGCAAGGTCCTAAGCAACTCAGTGAGACCTGTCTCTAAATAAAATATGTAAAAGGATAAAAGGGCTAGGGTGTAGATGAGTAGTTAAGCATACCTGGCTTCAATCGCTGGCACAATAAATAAATAAATAACTACCACAAAAAATTTTTTTTTAAAACATACAAATTTTATCCCAATTCTTAGGAATTTAAAAATAGATTAGGAAAATATATAAGTCTACTTATAATCAAACTTTTTCATATTTTCTTTTATTGAAGGCTTAATAAAATTTACAAATTATTTTACATTTGTAGACATCAATGGATATAATGTACCACAAACAGTTGAACAAGAAGCAATGGTCAATACTTTTTTGTTTTTTGTTTTTGCCATACTGGAGATCAAACACAGGTCTTCATGAATGCTAGGCAAGGGCTCTACCACTAAGCTATATACTCTAGATCCATAATACTTCAAAACAAGAAATTATATTAAGTTCAAAAAATTTTTATTGTAAATTTTGTAGAATGTAGTATTTGATATGCCTTCCTATAATAGTCACATCATTAAATGACAACAATACATAAGAGTAAAAAAAAAAAAAAATACTTAGTATGTTCATCAAGAAAGCATTAACACAGTCAATTTCTCAGATTGACATCCTTTATCATTTACATTTTTATTGGATTTAGCATACCTAATGAAATAATATACTATAGCTACTCATCTAATAAACAATTAGAAAGTAACAAAGTAATAAGCTGACTTCCAAAGGATTTCATAGAAAATAAAATTATTTTCAGCTTAATAATACATACCATCATGTAATCAAATGTGATACTGTACACCATCTGTGTTAATTTCAAGTTTCTCATGTATAAAAGTATCATTCTGAAAAACTACTTATGATTTAAATTTTTATTTACATAGGATACATGCTACTTATCTTGAAATTCACAACATATATACAAGTACTTTGAGAGTAAAAAACATTTAACTCTTGTCCCACAGTGGCTTTTCAATGATAATTTTTAGCTATTATGATTTGGCTTTATAGACTCAGATTTAAAAGATGAAGGATTTAAAGAATAAATGCAAGAAACTGAATCATCAAAATAGGACATACAATTTTCTACTTTCTAATGCATTTGATTTTGACAGTGATTCCTCAACACTAGGAAAAAATAAACCCTCTCTGAGTGATCCACATATATTAAATATAAATACCTTATCTTAGAATAAGTAGCCAATGTTTACCAATGTTCCTCATATTACAATAAGAAAACAGCCAAGTGTAATCATTAAGATTAAAATATCACAACCCCTGGTGATATGGTATCATTATGCAAAAAAATCAAAAAGAAAAAAAATTAAACTCGGCAAACTAAGGTATAATATTTATCCAATTAAATAAATGTGATTGCAATAGTAAAAGAAATGCATTATATGAAAACCATCTAAACAAAGACCAGTTATAAAAATTGCAAAAACACAGGTAACAAGGGACTTTTTAATTTTAATATTACACATTACAAAATTATTCCAGAAAAGCTAGTGATAGCACTATAGTTCACAGAGTACTCAAAGTTTATGTGGGGTTTTGACAAGAAGAACCTAATATATCCTTTATATCGTATAAATCTATAATCTTAAGAGGAAAAAAAAGGCAAAGGAAGCCAATTGATATCAGATTGCCTGGGTTTGAATTCCAACTCTACCATTTACAAACTATATCCTTGGGGCAAGGTATTATCCTGTCTGTGTCTCCACTTCCTTATTTGTAAACTGGGGACAACCATGATAGCATTTTTGTAAGGGTTAAATCAGTCAAAAATCCCTGGTACATAAAGAAGAAAATATGAAAGTACCACTATTTAGACATTTTTAACAAAATTTTTAAATCTTTATGGCATCACTGGTTTTATCAAAAACAAAATATTAGAAAATTTGAGACAAGCACAACATATAATTCTTAATGTCTATATATAAATCCTCACCAATACTTCTGTGAAAACTATCCTTCCTTTTCCAAAAAAGAAATAAAAGAGCATTATTAAAATATTCTTGTCTCAAAAGAAATAAGGTCCTTCAACCATTCTTTTATCAAATTAAGTCATAGCTGCTCTGATGAAATGTTCTTCAATTCAATTTAGATGTGAAGAACATTTTTCACATGACCAGTTTCATCATCATGTATCTAGTGAAGTAATCTCAAGAGTATGTAACACCAAATACTTGCTGTAGAAAAGACACTGTTTATTCCATATATATAAAGCCCAGTGAACAACTTCAGAAAGATCAAAGGAAAGTAAATATAACAACTGTACAGTTGTTTAAGCTTTATTTTTATATGTTTATAAGGGAACAAAAACTTCAAGATGTAAAGTACAATATGTCAAATGAAATAGTTCAATAACAGTACACAAATAACAGTACAAAGAACATGTACAGGATACATTATATAATTTGTTTTGAGGTTTCAAAAAATTGGTTTTGGTTTAAAATTCTGATATCAATATCTATTATATCTATCAAGTAACACATATTTCAAAAATCAGATCTTTAAAGAAATAATAACTAACATATCTCTAAGACAACCTGCCTTTACCACGATCTTCAAAATAGTGCTGTTCAATTCTTCTACAGAAAGCCAGGAGGTTGCTATAGTTTTTGACCTTCTCAGACAGTTCATCATTGGTCAACTGTGTGGTTAGAATGGTATATAGATGACCAAATACCAGTGCATCGAGTTCAGTAGGCCTAAAACAAAGGTAAAAATGAGAGTAATATGAGTGACACTACCATATATTATTTCTAAAAACATTTTATTCATCAATTTAAAAGAAAAATGTAGTGGTGGTGCATGCCTATAATCCCAGTGGCTGGAGAGGCTAAGATAGGAGGATCACAAGTTCAAAGCCAGCCTCAGCAATTTGGCAATGCCCTAAGCAACTAAGCTAGACCCTGTCTCAAAATTAAAAAATAATAATAAAAGGGATTGGGGATGTGGCTCAGTTGTTAAGTACCCCTGGGTTCAATTCCTGATAACAAAAAAAAAAAAAAAAGAAGAAGAAGAAATGTAAAGAATCCTATGAATTGATAGAATTTATTTCATTTTAACTTAAAGTTTCTGTTAGACTTTAAACTATGATTTGTGAATTATATGATTTGCTTTTTCAAGTAGTATTACTTAAATGAGTTAAAAATATATAGATATAATAGATCAATTTTATTCATTATGTTAGTCACCATATACATACAGTAGATCATATATTCAGAAAATGCTAGGTATTAATTGCTGGTGGAACTACAAATTGGTGCAACCAATCTGGAAAGCAGTATGGAGATTCCTTGAAACTTGGATGGAACCATCATTTGACCCAGTATCTTACTCTTAGGCTGATACCCAAAGGACTTAAACTCAGCATATTACAGTGACACAGGCACATCAATGTTTATAGCAGCTCAATTCACAATAGCTAAACTGAAGAACTAACCTAAATGCCCTTCTACAGATGAATGGATAAGAATGGTGGTATATATACACAATGGAATATTACTCAGCATTAAAAGAGAATAAAATTATGGCATTTTCAGGTAAATGGATGGAGTTGGAGAATATCATGCTAAGTGAAGTAAGCCAATCCCAAAAAACCAAAGGCTGAATATTCTCTATGATATATGTATGGATGCTGATCCATAATGGGAGGGAGGGGATAGTAAAAATGGAAGAACTTTAGATAGGACAAAGGGGAAGGAGAAGTGAGAAGCGGGTATAGAGGCAGGAAAGATGGTGGAATGAGATGGACATCATTACCCTAGGTACATGTATGGCTGTACATATGATGCGATGCTACATCATGAACAACCAGAAAAATGAAAAGTTGTGCTGCAATTATGTACGATGAATCAAAATACATTCTGTCATATATACCTAAGTAGAATAAATTTATTAATTAATTAAAAAAAGAAAATGCCAGATATTAGAGATTATTTTTAAAAGAGAGAGATACTCTAAAACATGGACAAAAAACATAAAATTATTACAACATAATTTTTAAATGTTTTAATAGATTTAAAGACAAAAAGGCTACGGATATAGCTCAATTAGTAGAGTGCTTGTCTTGCATGCACAAGGCCCTGGGTTCAATCCCAGCACTACCCCTCCCCCCCAAAAAAAGGATTTATAAACATTTCCACTATGGTGATGAGGGAAAAAAATAGTAATACCTAATTACCCAACCAAGTATCAGCAACATGATATAACTTTAATTATTCTGCTTTTAAAGCAATTTGGATTTTTGAAGGTAACAATCATAAGGTCTAAACATAAACTATTCTAGTTTTCTTTCTCTTTAATCATACATTACAACAAAATAAAATTTACTCCAGAATAAATGTTATATAAATGGAGCATCACCAAGCTATACTATATTAAAATAATTACTAATGCAATATTATTAAAAGGAAAAAATGCCATAATAAATATTCCATTTTTAATACACTTTCATTAAAATGGCAAACTACCTACTCTAAGTATACAAGGCTAGATGACCTGGTCCCTGCCCACCTCTTTGGCGTCATCTACCATTATCAACAACGTAATCAAAACTGGCTTTTCCGTTTTTTTTTTTTTTTTTTTTTATTATGAAACACTCATGCCAATCTTGGGGACTTGACACAAACTATGCCTACTGCCTGGAATATTCTTCCTCTGACTTCACATTATTGGATCCTTGTTTTTCAGAATAACACTCAAATGTCACACTTTAAAGCCTCCCCTGACCACTCAAACTAGATACACAGTTACTTGCTGTGATGTGATCTTCTAATTCTCCAAGTAGCATTTAATACAATCCAATATTTATTGTGTATTGTACATCTCCTCTAACAGAATATAGGTTCTATGAGAGGAAGGACCTTGTCCACTTCTTTCCTGCTGTATTCCCAATACTCAGAACAATGCCTGGCACAAAGCAGGTTCTCAACATGGACTGATGCACTTCTCATACCACACTACAACTTCATTTGCTTAACTGCTTCCCTTACCACACTCCAAGTTCTTCAAAGAGAGACAACATTGCACATATTTTTATAGCCCCACTTGTAGCACAATATCTAAGAATCTGAACCAGTATTTGTTAAGCAAAGAGAGCATCCTACCTAAGGAGTGTGGGATAATTTATTTTTTGATAGTAGTCATTCACATCCTTTCAAAGCCTTCCCTCTTTTGATACATTCATGAGGTATTAATTAAAGATGTGCAGTCTATGGTTATGCTGAAGAGGCCAATCAATAGCAGAGCTTTTTAAAAATCACGAGTGTGCTTGGACTCAACAGCATCAGAATCTTTTCATCACAGATCAAGACTCAATAACAAAACAGATCCCTGCAAAGAACCAAGGATGGACAGTGAATAAATGTACAGCTGAGGCATGTTGTGAGAAGCAATATAAATACCAACTCTTCAACATCCCTAAACATATTTCTTAAAATTTATATCTATCTTACTAGTAGGGCATTTTCCCCCCAATAATGCCAAATACTCTTTGCTTCTTATACCAAAGGTTTAAAAAACATGAATGCATTCACTGATGCTACTTCCAGTGGTATAACTGGGCCTTCTTTATCAATAAATGAGTTCAAATAGGAATGTTATGCTCAATTTGGAGTGTTATCTCCCATTTTAGTTTCTATGATACACTAAATCAAGAGAAAATAAATTTTCCAACCTTATACTCACCAGTGGATTTGTTTGTTTTATAATCTGAATAGCAATAGCAATTTTCCTCCTAAGAGCGCTAAGATATTTCAAACATATCATCACATTTATCTATACAGGCTTTTTATTAGAAAGATAGTCTAAGATAACAAAAAAAAATTTAAGTTCGGAGAAATTTGTTGCCTTCTTTTCTTACATTGTATCAGTTTTTCCACATTTCTTTTGGTTATCTACTGTCCTTTCATTTGAATATCAAAATAAAAACAGTACTATAAATGTGACCAATTTCCTGACCTTTTCCATTTTCAATTTTTTGCAGCATTCATATTTTTGTTTGCTTATTTGTTCATATTTCCTACTCTTGCTTTCTCTGATACCCTTTTTAGTATCATCTAGTCAAAAATATTTATTTTGTCTGAGTGTTTATTTTCCTAATATACTATTAACTTCTCATCTCCTTACACTACTAGAAATAAGCTACATATCCTTTCTATATCTTTAAAATTATCACTTAAGTTTGTAAATCATGCCCATTGCTTCAATGTCCTCTTTTCCCAATTATTATTCTTGCTGTAAAATCTCCCTTAATAATCTAATTTTTCTTTCTCTCATTAAGTAAAGCCATTTGGTTTATTTCATGAGTCTTCTCTCAACATCCCCAGTAGGTAATCCAGGAAGAAACTTTATTTTAATTTTAGGGGGTAAAGGAAGAATAAACAAAGAAATTAAAAGAACCTGTCTAAACTCAACATATGTTAGAGTATGTTAGAGCTAAGAATAAGAACACAGGGCCTCTGAATTGGAGTGTAATTTATATATATATATATATATATATAAATTATATATATAAATATATAAAATATATAAAAAATATATATATATTTTATATATATATACCAACTAAGGTGGAGTACTCCATGACAAAGGAATGACTCCTGCTACAGATAAAGGGAAAGAGAAAAATTTTGCCACAGCAAATACAAGTTACAGTTTTCTCTTTTTAATAAATAAATTAATTTATTTTAATTAGGTATATTTGACAGCAGAATGCATTTTGATTCATTGTACACAACTGTAGCACAACTTTTCATTTCTCTGGTTGTACACGCACCATGTATTTATGTAGCATGTATGTACGTAGCATCACACTATATGTGTAGTCATACATGTACCTAGGGTGATGATGTCCATCTCATTCTACCATCTTTCCTGCCCCCATGCCTCCTCCCCTTTGCCCCATCAAAGTTCCTCCATTTTTCTCATGCCTCTCCCCCCATTCCCCCATTGTGGATCAGCATCCACCTATCAGAGAGAACATTCGGCCTTTGATATTTTGGAATTGGCTTACTTTGCTTAGCATGATATTCTCCAATTTTAACATTGGTTAAATGATTGGGTAAAACTAAAATGTAAAATTTAAATTTATTCTATTCTTCAGTCATTATTATTGGTTAGGGAAAAATGTTTATCTGTTCAAATATCATATAAGGTAAAATTTCAAACACCTACATCTTCAAACCCAGTGCCTAAACACATGCCAGGCAAGTGCACTACTGTGAGCCACAGCCCCAGTCCCTTGAATACCTACATCTTAACATCTATTAAACAGTTCCTAAATGCAAGGCTTTGGTTTATGTAACTGTTTTAAATTTGAATTTCTTAATATAAGTTTAAATATAATTATACTTTTATGAAGAAAAACAATATTTTGATAGTTCCTCTGAATCACATGCCAAATGATCTCTGGTAACAAACATTTTGACAGTGAATTTAACTGAGAAGAAAAAGAAGTTAAATATATTTTCCAGGCCTCCTCTAAAGATAGCATGCATAACAAAACTAACTCATTACTAAAACAGAATAATGCACTTCAACAATAAAACATATCCCTTCTGAGATTTTGAATACTTAAGATTTCTTTTTATCAGAAAGAAAAGGTACTATATAATATAAACATTTAAATACATATCTTTATTTTATGGACTAATAATGGAAATAGGAATATAGTTGAAGCTGTGCCTACCACAACTTCATGGTTTGAACTATGTAACCTTTCTGCATCAGAAATCAAGAAGGCCCAGGTTTTATCTAAATATGTTATATGTAAAATAAACATCACTCATATTATAAAATAATATAATTTAAATATTCACAAGCTGTCATTATAGTCATTTTTACAACAAATATAAATATCTTAACCAAAAGATATTTGACATGGCTATAAATGAATGCCTATGAAGATATAAAGTAGCAAAAAAATGCCCTTAAAAAAATTAGCAATTGAAGGGGCTGAGGCTAGCGCTCTAGTGGTAGAGTGCTTGCCTAGTGTGAGGCACTGGGTTCAAACCTCAGTACCACATAAAAAAATAAATAAGGTATTGTGTCCATCTACATCTAAAAATATTTTTTTAAAATTATCAATCTAAAAAGCAAGCCAATTAAAGGTCAGACTTTCTAAGCAAATCACTGGGATTAAAATGCTTGGTTAAGCCCATCTTACACTGAATCACTGAAGAGCCACCTTTGATATATTAAAACTATAATTTTTTTAATAAAGGAAAAGTCATTCTTTGCCTACATTAGTGATTTTTTTCAAAATTACAAAAAAGTCAATAAACATGAATTACTCAATTTATGTGCATATATACATTTGATCTATATCCTTCAATATTAATATTTTATACTTTAAAATATTTTCATAGATTGTAAAAGTAATTAGTAGTGGTGCTTGTCTATCCAATAATATTCTTTATTGTTTAGTTTTGCAGACTCTTCTAGTCTCTGGGAACCCACATAGATAATGCTTGTGTGAAGAGCATCTTCATGTATTTTTTGTAGTAACAGAATTTTAAGATTTTAGAGTTCTACACACAGCACTTGAACTCCCTCTATTAGAACCTTTATCATATCATACAATAATGACTGATTTACATGAGTACCCTTAAGAAAACTACCTAATGACTAGGACCACCTTTAGAAATCTTAATTCCCCAGAGCCTAGCAACTTACCAGAGTATTTTTATAATGAGTATAAAAAGTGAATTTTAAAAATAAGTCTTTTTACTAATATTTCTTGAAAAACAATTCCTTAGGATACAAGAAATCTACAACCTAATAATATAAAAAAGAACCAATAGTAATAATAACAATAATGATAAATGTCTTACTGTTTATTGAAGAAATATGGTTGTGTTCCTAGTCTTTGAGAAAGAGCCTGACAGCACTGGTCCACATCCTCTAAGACCTAACATACACAATGGAGCCCAAAGAAAAACATTTAAATTAACAAAACCGTTTGTATCACAGCTTATAATGAAAATACGCATTTAGTTTACTTTTTATACTTAAATAAGACAATAGACCACATATATATTAGTAATGTTTTCTATATAAGAAATAGGAAAAAAATTTGAGACTGAATTTTCTTTAAATACAAGTGCATTAAAGTTACTCAAAAGGATTACTATCAAGAAAGCTTTTTTCCCCCTCAAAACTGTGCTCCCTAAAAAAGTTTTCCTGAATCCATATATTCAAATTATTTTTGCAAACATTAAAAAATATGCCCCATAAAGATGATATTGCCGACCTACCATGAGTAAAACATTTAAGTTGTTTTCCCACTAGTGGAGATGGATTTTATTTATTCCATCCCTATTCATTTGCTTAATCCCCTTTGTGAGATGGTTAGCTAGGACTGGGGGTAAACTTGACAAAAAGAAACATTAATTAGCTTAAAATGATGCTCAAAATCACCATCTTGACAAGATATTATATTTTTTAATTTTGCTACTTTAGTAAATTTAAGACCCCCCAAAATCAGATATATTAAGTACTGTATTTAAGAAGGTTTTTTAAAAAAAAAGCCCTACTGCTGCAGATCTATATTTATTGACAGAAAGATGCCCACAATGTATTGTTCAACAGGAAAAAAAAATCATATTACAGAGTGGCAGGCAAAATATGATCCCACTGAAGGACAATATGACTAAAAGACATCAAGAAGAATGTTCTCCAAATAATTGTGTGTGACTATTTGTGGTGGTAGGATTTCAGATAATTTTTACTTCTCTTTTGCACTGTTCTGCATTACATAAATTTTTTGACAATAAACAAGTGTGATTTATAGAAAATAAACTACTTTATGAGACAACTGTAGCAAATGTTTGCTAATATTATATTATTTTGCGATTCTCTTAAAGGATTACCATTTTCAAAGCAAGAGTTAAGCATTTTTTTCACCTTTAACTTGAACTGACCTGATCCAGAGTCTTGTTACCCCATCCAATTGCTTTCATCTTACGTTTGACTTCCCATTGTTTCTGATAGGCCAAAATATGATTCAGAGGCCAAGGGTAAGGAGATCCATACCTAGCATGAGTGATCTAAAGCAAAAAGATTTTGTAAGAAAGCATGATCCTTCCTAAAAACAATGCCTGTTTTTATAAACAGAATTCTTAATAAATATATTTGAGAATATAAATAAAGCAATTTGAAAAAAACACCAAATAGCTTGCAACTCAAAAAATTAAAATTTTAAACCATTCCCTTTAAAAATATATAAACTTTTATGTACTTTACAACCAGTTATATCAAACAATGACACACAGCTTCCCTAAAATGTATGTGCAAGCAAAATTAAAGTAAGTGAAAAACTATATCACTAATGGTATAAACCACAATGTTTCATTTATGAGCAGGGACTTACGATTCTGAGCAAAAGTGTTTTCTCATTAAATTTTAATTAAGATAAATGCTGCAGAACCACTCACCTCCCCTACTGTAGCTTCATCACACCACTGAAGATACAACTAGGAACAAAAGAACAGTCACTAAAACTTCAGAATATCAAAGAGAAAAAAGATAAAGAAAGTTATTTCTTACTATAGTAAATTTTTATAAGCCAACTTTGTAAGTCACTTATTATGAGGGGTTTTTTTTTTCCTTAGCTAATGCTGCTGTACAGAATTATTAAATTTAATGGTGGTACTTTATAAAAATATTTCTTATTCACATAATACATATCTAAATACGATTAAAGTATTTTATAGATAATTACTTAAATAAATTTTAAAAGGCCAAAATAAAACAATGAGTAAGCAAGAATCACCACTTCTTACATTTAGGAAAAACTAAAACTGAAAATATAAAGTAACTTATTCAAAAACAATGATCAAATAATTTAAGTACCCATCTTACCCCCAGAATCACTTGATTGTTTTCCCATTTCCTAACAACTTTAAAAGTAATACATAAAAGGTTTATATTTTATGAGAGAATAAAGATTATAAAATATTTTATTTCAAGTCCTATTATCTTATACCTCTGCAGTCAACAGCATATTGTTGACTAATTCCATGTAAGCTTTCATTTCTGCTTTTTGGACTTCATCCAACCCATCACTAAGAGAATGGCCCTAAAGGGAGTTTAAAAAAATTTGAAAGAGCATCATATTAAATATGCAAAAACTTACAGTTATCATACTAACAAGTAATATAACATGCAAGTGTCCAACAGATTAATTTTAAGGGGCCTCCTAAAATAATTTTATATAAAAACATATCTTAAACTATCGAAGTTGTATTTGTCATTATACAAATGTATCTTTCAATGAACAAAATTATATTATCAATTGTCACGAAAAAGGAAAACAGAATAGTTAGTAAATATTTTTTTAAGAGATTAACCATAATTTTTTTAAAATGCTAGATGATTGACATGTTGTTTATAAAGTGACCAAGGACGAAAAATATGTTAGAAAAGATATGGGGAAAAAGACACTAATTTCAAAATTCTAACAAAGTACAGTAATGAATATATACTAAAATGATATAACCCTTAGTTCTATCTGGCAATGTCACAAAAATTTTAAAAAGCATACCCCAATTCCATCCAATACCGCTCGCAGGATTTATTCTAATAAGACAATTGTAAAAAAAATTGTATGTACAAGAACATCTATTCTGGCATTCATAATAGCAAAAAACCTTCACTATAACCTAAATGCCAATCAATAAATACTTGGGTAAATAAAATTATAATACATTCAATTCAATAGAATACCATACAACAATTTAAAAGGATGATGTATATCTATATATCCACAGTCATTAACATGGAAGAATTTAAGAGATATGTTGGTGATTTGAAAAGCTAGGTTGCAAACTATCATGATGCCCAAAATATTAATGGGTATCGTTTTTAGATAACTATTAAAATCTAAACTAAATAAATGAAAAGTACAATCATTAAAATGAATAAACTAATACCTTCAACTTATAAATACATCCTGCATCTACCTTCTCAAAGGTCAATGAGATACTTTATAATAACCTAAGTTTTCATTTATGACTAAAATTTTCACTAGCATATTAGAAAATTATATACCATTTTATTAAGATCAAATTACCTCTTTTGTCACTGATTTATACTATGAAAAAAATATCAATTTATACTTTAGAAATATTTTCTTGTAGTTTACTCATTTTATAAAACTAGGTTAAAATTAATGTAAATGTTAAGACATGCTGAAGAATGATGGATGATTTATTTAAAGTGTGATCAAATATATTTGGTGTCTTATTTATTACCTTGGCTTTAACAAATTGGACTATTGGACCAAGTTCTGAGACTACTTGATTTCCCACATGAATAAAAGGTACTTTACCTGTCAAGGGAAAAAAATGTGTAAAATACTTTCAATAAATTAAAGTTTGTGCTAATAAAAGAAACAATAAAAAATTCAGGCATGTTTTATGAACACGAAGATTTTATAGTTATACAAATATAACTTTTAAATATTATAATCAGATATGTTTAAACTCCACAACTGTTTATACACTCATTACTAATCAATCTCAAAAAAACAAAAGAAAAAAGAACAAGTAGACTCATTTGTAGAGTTCTCACCTGGATATAATAACAGATCACAAAATTCTCTTTTCAGTAATCCTAACAAATCACTATATAGCAGCCAGGACATAATTCATGAACACTTACAAAGTTCAAAGATATTTAACTTGGCTTTCTCTTTGGAGTACTGCACAATGAATCAATCTATATTGTGAACTACATATAAGAAGTCTTTTTACATTTTCAAAATTTAAATCTCTGGTATAAATTAAGGTCAATTTTGAGTACATAATGATGCATTATTAAATGTCTCTGACTTAAAATATCACGAATTAAAAGAATTAACAATCTTTGAAGGTATGCTAGTTTGTGAGCATACAAAGCATGTTCCTAATACTCAAGGGCAAAAGGAATGGTATGCCTCTAAAAACTGCCTACTTTTTTAAAAAAAGGCCACATTTAAAATGTAACCGTTCATTTTAATAAATTCTAATATTTGATGATATTGTCAGAAATGAGGAGAACAAATAGTAAGGACTACTCCAAACACTAAAGGATGAAACCTGCTGTCAGATCTAGTTCAAATAGAGTTCACACTAACAGCAGGCTTCTTCCTGATCCCTTTCAATGGATTCACTTCTTGGCTCAGTCAGCCTGGGGGTAATGGATGAGGTGCACAGCACCAACAAAAGCTTCATCTGTATCCACAGGATAACATGCATTACAAAGGAAAGGCAGGCCTTTTGGAATACAACTCAATAGATGTATTTAGAAGACATTTCCCTGTTAACAATTGTGCATTCCTTTCTTCCAGAGAACATTTCCCTGTTACCAAGTGTACATTCCTTCCTTCTACTGCTTTATAAATCTTGTAAAAAAGTATTTCTTAGCAGGGCAAGTATTAGCCCATCGTTTTTTAACTTGACTAAAATCTTTGTAACTACTGTACTATTACAAAGAGTACAGGTCATCTGAGATTAAAAAACAAAACAAAACAACAACAACAACTAAAAACTAGTGCCTAGACTAAAGGGTATTTGAGGGTATGTCATTTTTAGAGGAAAGTATATTTCTCCTTAATAAGTAGTTTCAAATTCTTGGAAAAAGTATATTTCTTTTCTTAAAAATATACTGAGCACCATAGATTCTGAAGGAGGGAAGAAGTCTGGATGCTCAAGTGAGTACTCATGTATCTAATCATAAAGAGATATATAAAAATCAAGGTGTAAGGAACATCTGCCATAGACAATGCTGGGACTCACTGAAGTTGCTGGCCATGAGGAAGAGCAGCCATTGAACTGTTTCGTCATGTCTGCTTGCTATTGATAAAGACCTGTAAGGGGCACTAGCCATAGGCATGCTTAAACAATGACTGGTTACAATTAATAGGGAGCAAATGTCCATGGACATGCGTGAAGAACATTCCCAGTTGCAATTACATCATTTTTTAACTTGACTAAAATTTTGGTAAGATTTTAGTCATAACCAATGGACACTGACTATTACTGGATGTAACCAATCACCAAGGTACACCACCAACTTCGAACTGTATTTAAAATGCTTGTCCTGCCACACTGAAGAGTTTTGCTCCAAGAACATTGGTGAGACTGGCTGCCTTGCTGTGCATCCCCGAACTGACCCATTCCCTGACGACCAGCTATCAGCTGGAGAGAACCACCAGACAAGGACAATGTCTGCTCTTTAGCTAGGAGAAGTCACATGGCATCAGAGGTATTTTGGGGCTTATGATTGCCCTAGGATTGTGCAATTTGCTTATAGTGTTTAATTAGTGTGCATGGAATGCCAGTTGAGGTGCTCCAGCACATCCAACATTTGTTGTATTAATTGTTTATATATGGTGATTGGTGTGATCGAATATACGCTTGCATTGAAAGACAATTTGCCTCCAAGTAATTATTAATAGCGCCACTCGCCACACAAGGCAACAGATTACAAGTGAACAATGTTTTCTGTCACTACCTTGACTTAAAATAGAGCCAATGTTAAATGGTTATTATTGCAGGTTATCAGGCAAAAAGCACAGTGACAGTTATTCTCTGGCAGCAAAGGTCATAAAAGAAAACTGAGGGCTGTTTTTCATTTTAGGCAGAATAGTCACTTTTAGAACTTTATTTCTCTTTTTAATATTTATTTTTTAGTTGTAGTTGGACACAATACCTTTATTTTTATTTATTTATTTTTATGTGGTGCTGAGGATCGAACGCAGGGTCTTGCACGTGCGAGGCAAGCACTCTACCGCTGAGCCACATCCTCAGCCCTAGAACTTTATTTCTATGAAAAAGCAAGAACACATTGCCAAACAAGTTTGTAGACTCAGAGAATGTCAGAAACAGAAAGAACCTTGGATGTCATCTAATTTGACCATCTCATATCACAGAGGAAGTTTACTGAAGAGAAGTCAAATTTCCCAAGGAATTGTTTCGTATTTGACAAAGTCATAGATAAAGATTTAACTCTTGGGGCTGGGGATGTGGCTCAAGCGGTAGTGTGCTTGCCTGGCATGCATGGGGCCAAGGTTTGATCCTCAGCACCACATACAAACAAAGATGTTGTGTCCACTGAAAACTAAAGAATAAATTAAAAATTAAAAAAAAAAAAGATTTAACTCTTTAAGACAAATAGTCTTCTATTTTTTGCTCTCTGCTTTAAAAATCTATTACAACTCAATAAGAAAACAAATAATCATATTTTTTAAATGGGAAAAAATCTGAACAGTACTTTACCAAAGAAGATATATGAATGTCAAACATACGAAAAGATACTCAATATCATCAGTCACTAGGGAAAGACAAATTAAAACCACAACGGGAAATTACTACACACCTCTCAGAATAGCTAAATTTTTTTCCTTATTTTTTAATTAGTGCATTATAGTTGTACATGATGGTGGGATTTGTTTTACATATTTGTACATGCATATAATATAACAGTATAATTTGGCCAGTATCATTCTTCAGTATTTCCCCTCTCTCTTCCCTTCTCCTTCCCCCTAGTCCATTTCCTCTACTCTACTGATCTCCCTTTGATTTTCATGTGATCACCCCTACCTTTCTTTTCCTTTTTCCTCTCTAGTTTCCACATATGAGAAAAAAATACAACCCTTGACATTCTGAGTTTGGCTTACTTATTTAAGATCTTTCTGTTTTCCTGCAAATGACATAATTTCATTTTTCCATTATAGCTGAATAAAACTCCATTTTCTTGATCCAGTCATCCATTGATGGACACCTAGTGTGGTTCCATAGTTCAGCTATTATAAATTTTAATATTGTATATGGTGCAATGTATTGATTGAAGTTCTTTTTTTCTCCTCTTTGCCTATGGATAACCAATTGGCCCAACTCCATTTGTTGAAAAGACTATCCTTTCTCCAAGGACTTCCTAGGCAACTATCAAAGGTCAAACAAGCAAATAAAATTTTTAAACATTGCCCCTTATCACCTCAACTCATGTGATGAAGGGGAATACTACTAAGAGATATGACTAAATGTAAATATCTTAGTCATTTTCAAATACTTACAGGAGACTCCACCTATGAATGAGAAATGTACTGTATCTTTCCCTGTTGTCTTTCATGGAGTATGAAAAGAAGACAATTAACTAACTAAATGATACTAAACATAGTAACTTAAACATAGTAACTTATACATAGTAGATGAACCATGACTTATTATTTACCAAAGTTTTCAATTTTGGTATTAGATTACTGATCTTTTCTTGTGTGTGTACATATATACAGATATATGTATACACTCTCAGTATGACTACAGAAAAAAAAAGATGGAAAGAACACATATTTCAACAGAATTCAGAAAAGTTTATAAAAAAACTTTATCTATAAAATTAGCTTAAAAATGAGTCAATGAATGAATTCCATGAATCTAAAATATATTGACATTCAGAAGTCTAAAAAATTATTTTGGAAATATTTTCTAAATGTATATTCATAAGTCTAATAAATGCATATGTATACATTCAGAATCTTCAGTGTGTATGGGATTGGTATCTTTATATCTTTTGACAATTACCACTACCCATAAAAACTTAAGGTGAAAAAAAAAAAAGCTTAACAAGTCATTCCTAAGTTATCATCATATCACAATGAAAAGAACTAATATTTTCTCCCTAAAAAAGCAATATAGTTATATTCAACAATTTATCCATGAAGGAGTGATCCCATGTGCTATTACTGCTCCAGTAAAACCACAATTAAAATAACTCATGTCAATTACATTTAACATTTATTTAATAGCTTTGTGATATATTTTTGTATTGAAAATAATTTAAATCATATTTAAACACTACGTTAGTCAACTAGAATACAAAACACAGAAACAAAATACTGATCATAAAACATAGCAATAGGTGACATTTTAATAAATAATATCTTAAAATTTGTTAAAATAAAACATAGCCTTCCTTCCCTTCCCTTCCTCCCTCAATCCCTCCTGCCCCCTTCTCCCTTTCTTCTCCTCCCTCCCTCCCTCCTCCTTCCTCTCTCCCTCTCCCTCCCTCCTTCCTTCCCTCCCTCCCCTCTTCCTGGCTACCATGTGAACGGTTCTACTCTACAACATTCTTCCCACCACCATGTAAGTTTACAAAATAAATCTTAGGGTATCTCCTGCAAAAAAATAATAAATAAATAAATAAATAATAAAGAGTTAGAAACTAAAATATGTCGACAATGATTTTAACTAAGATCTAGTGACAATTATTCCATGATATTCCTTCTTCTCCCTAATATTATGCGACAAGATAATTTAGACAAGTGTGTTCAATAATAAAGAGATTCATTAATATTAGAATTTGTTTAATATTAGAATTTGTCCTGTGTAAGTAAAACTAGGAAAATCTGAGATTATGTATTTCCTTAATATTTACTTATTTAAAATAATTTTCATAACATCAGTAACCATCTCTGATCAGAGTTGAAATCTGTAGACAGACTGATTCCAAGATTGTTAAGATTGCAATTATTACTTTACAAAACAATGTGAAAATTCTTCAAAAGTAAACAACAAGAACAACAACAAAAAAAATCAAGCATTTTTAACATCGACACAAATTATAATTTTATCAATCCAGAATGTAAACAGAGAAGGAAAAAAAAATCATACTTACCAGATGGAGACATATATTCTGCATTTGCCCTATAAACCACTTTGACAGGCAGATTACACATCTGCAAAAAGGCCTATAAATAAGAAGAAATACAGTTAAGTCTAGTGAAAGTATACTTATATTTGAACAAAACTTTTTATTTATTTCATAAACTTAATAGTCCATACAGCAACACTCTACTGGAAAAGAATAAACCGTTTTAAAGTTAAGGATTTGTGGGCTGGGGATATGGCTCAAGCGGTAGCGTGTTCGCCTGGTGTGCGGCCCGGGTTCGATCCTCAGCACCACATACAAACAAAGATGTTGTGTCCGCCAAAAACTAAAAAATAAATATTAAAAAAAAATTCTCTTTCTCTCTCTCTCTTTTAAAAAAAAAAAGTTAAGGATTTGTTTTCCAAACAAAAATATCATTTCACTAATAAAAAGTCAATATGACTTAGACATTAATAAATACATGAAACTGCTAGATGTGGTGGGGCACACCTGTTATCCTAGGAGGCTTCGGCCAGCCTCAGCAACTAAGTGGAACTCTGTCTCAAAACAACAAAGGTAAAAAGGACTGAGAATGTGGCTCAGTGGTAAAGCACCCATGGGTTCAATCACTGGTATAATAAATAGATAAAGTCTAACTAACTTAAAATATATATACTTAAGGAAGCACATAAATATCCCTACTTGTTTACTATATTAGTTTAGGTAAGTAAACAATCTTAAACTTTGCTTTAATTTTCTTTAATAGATTATTGAAGTCCAAATTTTATAAGATACTGATTGCTTAATTCCACTACTCTCTGCAGGACCATTATCTCTCTCATCTGCTACTTCAACATTCTTTCCAGTAATATTCAAAATCCTAACTACGTAGTTCTGTGGTCACTAATTCACTTTTTAAAGGTTTAAACTGTTTATTTTCACTTGGTTTATAGGAACAAAAATTTTACAAGCAATTTAAATGTCTTTATAAAAGTACAGGTAAATCATTACAGTAATTCTAAACCACAGAGTATTGTACAATTTTAAAACTCATGCTTTTGAGAATATTTTATGATAAAGAATAAATGTACACATTATAATATAATGTAAAAAATACAAAATCACATTACTACAGAATACTGATTCATTTTTACCTGTTAAGACACCAGTGCACTTTACCAAATCCACTATTTTTTATAATAATCAAAGTTTACTCCCCTTGTTTTCTCTCCTGTGACTTTTTGGCTTCTTTATCTCCACACATAAAACTTATCTATGTTCTCTATGAAACAGTTTAATTATTCAACTGGAGCATCATACATTATGATGGTTCTATTACCACATACAAGTTAGAAAACAAACCTTTCATCTTCTTTTAAACTGAGGAAACTATTATAAATAGCAGTCAAATGTAATTTAAGATAAATTAGGGCTGTGGATGTGGCTCAAGTGGTAATGCGCTCACCTAGCATGTGTGGGGCGCTGGGTTTGATCCTCAGCACCACATAAAAATAAAGATATTGTGTCCACCGAAAACTGAAAATAAATATTTTAAAAAGATAAATTAATAAATTAACAAGGCTATTACTTACCACATATTAAGATTATGAACAGAACACCTTACTATCACCCAATAGAGATTTCTCATAAGAGTTAATAAAATTCGTTAGTTCTGGATCAAAAATCAGTCTTTTTTTTTGGGGGGGGGGGTTGGGGGTACTGGGGATTGAACTCAGGGGCACTAGACCATTGAGCCACATCCCCAATCCTATTTTGTATTTTATTTAGAGACAGTGCCTCATTTTTGCTGAGACTGGCTTTGAACTCACAATCCTCCTGCCTCAGCCTCCCAAGCCACTGGGATTACAGGTGCGTGTTACCATGCTGGCAAAAATCAGTCTTAAGACTCAAAAAGTAGTTAAGAGTACTGAACAGTGATTACTGCCTTGTACAAAGAGCTCCATTTACCCCAAACTATGTCAATTCCCTTCTTCAAATACATCTTCCCAAAATTCTAGTCCTCTAAAGAATGTTTCCCTATAAAAATAAATCCTATGAGTCTCAATCTATTACCCTCACTACTTAGTTTGATTGCTACATTTATCTATAACTTATATATACATGTCTGACTCCCTAATTGTGTGACATTTCTTAGAAAGCCAATAGTAGGTTTTAATTTTTTGTATTTGTTACCCTCCCCACAGTCTCCACTTCCCACAACTAACCTAAGAGAGTACAGTACTTGTAAATAATCATTCAACACTGTTTACTAATGGGCAAAACATGCTCCCAAAAGTTTACTGTAGCCATCTGTCCATCAACCCCTCTACCCTTCACAGATGTTCTCCCCTTTCCCTATAGTGGATGAACCTGTGAATTATATCTGTACACAGATGGTGCCTGAAGTTAAAAACCTGTATTCCCAGTCTACTTTATAATGAAATGTGGTCAATGTCTCAATTTTGGTCATTGGGACTAAAAGTTCTGCATAACCATTAGGAAGTTTCTTTAAAAGAAGGGGATATGTTTTCATTTCCCCCCCTGCTGACTGAAATGTGAAAAGAATGATTATAGGTACAGCAGTGAAACTGAACCATGAAATAGAAGCTGAGGATGAGGCAACAAGAGAAAAGGAGTCCCTAAACTTGGATTACCTGATTTTATAAAAGAAAGACATAAGCTTCTTTTTACACTGCTACTATATTTTAGGTTTCTGTCACCCATAGTGTAATCCTAATTTATTCACCTACAATTACTAATCATAGGTTTAAACACCAACTCACCTGATCAAAAGTCTGATTCTTCTACCTCTAAGTGTAAACAAGTAGTCTTCTCACTCTATTACCTCTGATCCCAAATTATAGTAATAGCTTACTGTGACCCCTATTATAGGCTAGGACAATGATTCTCAAACCTCATCAAAATCATGTGGAAGGCGTACTAAAAAGAATTAGAGTAAATGTGAACAATTCATTTTAAAAGCTGGATCAGCAGGAAGAGGGAGTAGAAAAATGGATTCCCTTCTATTACTTATGTATCTATACTGATGATGAAAAGCAGAGCTCTTCACTGAGAGGGGAAAAAAATGGCAGAGATGAGCTCAATGACAGAACACTTGCCTAGTATGTGCAAAGCCTGGGTTCAATCCCCAACACTACAAGAGGAGGAGGAGACAAGTTAGAGTCTGTAAAGAAGTCAGGATGGTGCCTGGCATTTTGCCAGAGACATGTTAGAGTCTGTAAACAAGTCTGGATGGCGCCTGGCAAAATGCCAGAGGGAGTGGTTTGTGAAGTAACACCAGCGAGCCATTAAGTGTGGAGATTTCTTATTGGTTGACTGATGTATCTAGTTTATGCTAATTAGATAAGCTGTGTGGAATGTATAAATACTGCTCCTGTCCTGCAATAAAGGGCTCCTACTCCTGCTGTATCAATCTACACAAGTTGTTCGTCACCCCACCCCCCCCCCACCCCCCCGTTATTTTGCCCAGCCAGCCGGGCTGCGGCAGAGACACCCACGCCCACACCCCCACACACACACATCACAAATAAGTTTGATGGCACAAAAACAGCATTTTTATACAAACATTAAAAATGCAAAAAAACACATCACCATGACTGTTTTCAATAATATAAAAACTTTGAAACAAAGCAAACTTTGACTTAAATAGTATTTCTCTTTTCTCTCCTAGGATGGAAGAAAAATCTGAGAAGTTCCAAAACAGTACTTTCACCTTTCACTATTTTCTATTCTTTTATTTTATTTAATTTTTAAGTATTCTTCGCTGTTATTTGCAATCTTATCAACACACACACTCACACACACACAAAAAAAAAAAACTCCAAATAATAGGCCTGATATACCAGCCTATAACACATTTTTTACTTTCAGTTTCAAGTAGCAACCTGCATATTTTTATTCTTAAGTAAAGCCAAAGAAAAATGTCACTCTAATTATAACAAACTTAGGATAACTCACTTAACTCATTCTCTAGTTGGATAGTTTATTCCAAACCAATTCAAATGAATGGCAACATAAAATAATTTGAATGAAAACAGCACATCCTATCAGAATAATGTTTTATAACTATGCTGCTCAATATGGTAACCACTAATTATATGTTGTTATTTAGGTTAAATTTAAATTTATTAAAACTGAATAAAATTATAAAGTCAGTTTCCCAAACTAGCCACATTTCAAGAGCTCAATGGAACCTGTGACTACTGGCTACTGTATTAGCACACATACAAAACTCTTCCTTCATCACAGTGTGATGTGGTGATGACTTCTAGATGTCTATGGGACAGCATGGGTCTGTAACAATGATAATCAACACATAAAAGAGGTCCTGGTATGAAAGCCTGACATCACCTGTAAGTAATTAAACTACATAATATTTAAAACACAATCTTCATAACGGTACAGTGCATAAAAATAAGTAATCAACTTTAAAAAAAATTTTTTTAGTTGTAGATGGGTATAGTATCTTTATATATTTATTTATTTTTATGTGGTGCTCAGGATTGAACCCAGTATCTCACATGTGCAAGGCAGGCGCTCTACCACTGATCCACAACCCCAGCCTAGTAATCAACTTTTGATGCTGGTGACACATTTAACATCATAATATTCCTAATTTCAGAGAGAGCTAATATAGGGTTACTCATTTGTTGAATAACTGACAAAACGATCAAGCAAATTAACATGTAAAAACTAAGACCTAAAAAATTAATTAAAATTACAGTCAATAAATATAGTTATATAGTTTGTATTTTTTAAATACAAATCTAAGTTCCTATGACACGGCAGGGAATGTTTTAAACACACACACACACACACACACAAACACAAATACACACACATGAATGTACACAGTATCTGACTTTTAAGACCCTGAAATTTAATAAGCTTTAACACATTTAATAAATTAATTAAATTCTTTTTTTAATTTTACTTTTTTAAGATATTTTTTTAAGGTGGACCCAATGTTTTTTTGTTTTTTTTTTTAATGTGGTGCTGAGGATCGAACCCAGTACCTCACACATGCCAGGAGAGCACACAACCACTTGAGCCACATCCCCAACCCCTAATTAAATTCTT